ACACCCTTGCAAACAGACAGTCCCCAACACGCTGGCATACAGACAGTTCCCAACACGCTGGCATATAGACAGTCCCCACTCCATAAGGATTCACCTTGAAATCTGCCAGCTTCATAAAGGTGAGAATGAGAAGAGCATTCAAGAGAAACAATCCCTGAAAATCTAAATTTCAGGCCACTGTCTCCTACAGACACACACATAATATATAACTAACACACTAGCAAACCAATTCTAAACATTTATTATAGAATACTAAAACTGATTTTTAAAAATAGGCCTATTTTTAAAAATAGGCAAAAGGTTAGTTTAACTTAAAAAAAATCAATGTAGCCAATCCACATTAACAAATTGAAGAAGAAAAAAACATAACCACTCCAATAAATTCAATAAATTAAGTGACAAGCTACAATATTCTTTCATAATGAAAACCATTTCCCAAACCATGAGGAACTGAAGGCAGACCCCTCGACCTGACGGACGGCCCCTGTGGTGAAGTGACTGAGGAAAGCCCGACCAGCTGGGCGTTTGCACACTGTGTAAGGAGGTTTGACTGGTGCAGCCTTGATGGAGAACAGGAGTCACTGGGGCTTTAAGGCTGAAAGCCTGGAGGCACTTCCAGTTGGCTCTCTCCACTTCCTGCTCTACTTGAGATCTAAGCTGTTGGCTTCCTGCTCCTGCTGCCACACCTACCGCTCACTGCCATCCTTCCCTGCCACATTGGGTCTTACCCCTCTGCAACCAGAAGCTCAAATAAACACTCCCTTCTATAGGCTACCTTGGTCATGGGGTTTTACCTCAGCAACAGAAACATAGCTAATACAACTTCTAAGAAAGCTTACAAGAATCATGAGAATGGATGTAAAAAATCAGACATTTCCTTCTTCTAGAATCAGGGAAAATCAAAGTTGCCCACTATCAGCTTGAGCTGACATCTGGATGTTACACTAATAATAAGATTAGGAAGGAAGGGAGGATGGGGAGAGGGGGGAGGCAGACCGGTAGGTGGTTTGTTGATAGAGACAAAGTCAGTTATGTAAGTCAATTATATTTCTATCAGCAAGAAATTTATTTTAAATGAGTATATCTTAATATCAAACACTTAATAAATCAGACAAAATATGTGCCATCCCTATATACAAAACCAAGTTTAAAGCATTATTAAGAATAATTAAACAACAGCTAAGTAAATGACAAATGCATCATTCTTAAATGGAAAAATTCAGTGCGTTAGATACTGGTCAATTAGCCCATCATATGCCCAGGCAAATTTTTATGGAGATATAATTTAATGATATCATTATAAAATGTATACAAGCATGCAAAGATCCAAGAACATCAAGTCCACACTACAGAACCCCACTAAAGGGACTGTTTACCAGGGATGAATGACTAGTTACAAGGGAGCAAATCTCCAAAAAGGCAATTAACTCTTACGACAAAAATAACAGTTTTTGTCTGTCCAGCCATTCCAGGCGGAGTGTCATGTAGCTCAGGCTAGCCTTGCACTTCTGCTCCTCCTGCCTCCACCTCAAGGCACTAGAATCACAGGTGTTACATCAGCATGCCCCCAGACCTACCTTTCAATAATTGGGGCTGAGGATGTTAGCTGTCCATGGAGAAAACAGAACTACCTTGATCACTTCTTCGTGTGACAGAAAAGAGCTAATATAATAAAATTTCTTAGAATTCAGACAGAATCAACTTACTAAGGTAAACTAAAGTTTCTGAACCAGAGCACAAAATGCACAGAGGGTGAACCTTGTGAGACCAGCGCGCTCAGACTAGGAGCCCACACACCGGCTTTGGGCCTTACTCAATAACCTCTTAACGCACAGAGTCTGATAACACTTGCCTGATCCTTCTTACTTAACGTGCCAAGAGACACTTTTACTTTTGTAAATATGTAGTATCATTTTCAGAGTCAAATCCATTAAGATTCACAATGACTTATAATTTATAAGTTAAATTATAGTGACTTTTAATAATTAATAACTACTGGAAACTCAACAAGGGGCCAAATAACATTGTAACTTAATACATAAACTGTATAGTTCATACTCATTTAAAAATGTTCTGCTCACAATGATAACTCAGCTATCACAGGTGATTAAAATAGTAATTAGGGGTGAAGGCTCCTGCCCAGGAGAGAAATAACACAAAACCTGAGAGGACCAAAAGCCCCCCTGGAGCTTGCAGGGAGCCAGCTGCTACACTGACCCAGCTTGTTCTCCATGACACAGCTCCGTAGTAGACGCTCTCACGGTCTTATTTTCTCAACCCCCCATCAGGTCACAGCGACAAGGGACGTAGAACAGAGGCAGCACTGGCCTTCCAGAAGACACACATAACAATAAGGGCCTAAGGTATTATACATTCATATGTTTTTGAAGTTTTAATTTGCATACTCCGTATCTATAACCAAAATTTCATGCATGCAAAAAATGCTTTCTAATAAAAATTAAAACTTTTAATACATCCTGCCAATTGCAGTCACATATGAAGAAGAGAGCTGAATATTTTCAGTTACTCATTTATTCCTTTAAGAGATACAACCTTCAAGTATTATAGATTTATGGAAAGTACTATGGTGAGGATGAGGGCTAGGTCACCCCTAAGGGTCCGTTGTGACTAAAGGCATTTCCCCAATGAGCTGCTCCTGGAAGGTGACACACCCTTCAAAGGGGAGCCAAATAACAGATCGCGTATGACACTGAGGGTGTGCCCTTGAAAAGGGACTGTACCACCCTGATTGTCATCTCTTTTTCTCTTCTCTGGTTCTAGATGTAACCCACTTGCTTCTGCACATGATCCTGCCATAATGTGACATCGTCTGTGCTCACCAGAACTGAACCAAAGTGGGCATGTAACACACCCCTGAAACTTCATAACTGTGGGCTCAGAAAACCTTTTACTATACTTGAGCTGCAGAATTTTGTTATAATACTATAAAGACGCACAGTGCATGACTTAATGTTTGGCCTGTGCTTGCGCCACACGTCAAGACAGCACACATTTTGGTCAGCTGTGCGAGGGACACTGTGTTTTCTGCTGCCGATCACCTTACCTTAGCAGCAAGCTGCAGCCCAATCTTGTCAGCCTCAGCCTCCAGGGTTCTACTGTACGGTCTATCAAACACATACTGAGAAGTAGAACAAAAAAAACTGCATTAAGCGGATTTATTTTATGATCAAAGGAATTATAAAAAAATGAATGTTAAATTAATTTCACAGAAAATCTAGTATGAAATGTCTGTCCTCTAAGATTGAAAATGTAAATGAGGCCATTGTTTCTTCCATTAGACCCCACTTTAAACAGGAAAATAAGGAAGCTAGGGATGCGCCTGTCCGGACAGCCTCTGCTGCCAACAGCTGATTTCACTTCCACCGTAAAATCTCTACTGCTGAGGAGAACATACTGGGACAGACTTAACAGGGCCAAGGAACATGAACCTCACAGTTCTAGAAAAACAAATACAGGTATATGAGAGCCAATAACACTAGCAGAAAACATCAGCGAGAAAATTAACCACAGAGGAGAGCCCCATCTGTGATTAATTATCTTCATTTCTTTTTCTAAATATTGATTAGTTAGGAAAATAAAATTTTCTTCTGACTTAATTTAAAAAAAAAAAACACGAACAGTTACCGTAACTTTAATTTTCCTAATTACTTGTATCTATGAGAATGTTTTCCAATTAAATTCTAATTTGCAGTAAGCACTAAAACTTTGTAGGAACTGGATCAAGAAGCAGGACTTTTGATAAAGGACCTATTAATCCAGGGAGCAACTTTTCAAACACAGCAACATGCTTGTGACAGATCCAAGCAACCAAGCCTCTGCTCACAGTATGTGAGCGTGGCCTAGGACTTCCTTCCCTCTCAGCTACAGGTTTTAAGCTGGAGAACTGCAAGGCAGGGGTCAGCTCTCAGTGCACAAGCCAAGTGTGCACCACTGAGTGTACCAACCCAATGCAGCAACTGCTTCAGCAGAAGAACTCATAGGGCAACACGCAAAATGGAGCTAGTAACAATAACTAGCTCCTCGATTTGCACAGAAGATTACATGGACCAATAATAAAGTCAATCATCCCTATTAACAGAGTTCTTACTTTGTGCCAGATACTACACAAAACCATTGAAAGTAGTGGCTCTCAAGTGTGATTTGTTTGCTTATTTATTTGTTTGTTTGTTTGTTTATTAACTCTTGGAAACATTATAAATGTTTGGAGTTACAAGGTCATGATGTTGTTACCTAAGTAGTCTCACATACATGAACTAAAGCAATCCTCCTGCCTTAGCTCTTCACAGTAGCTGGGACTATAGGATCATGCCACCATACCGGTTCAGTGGCATTTTTTAAATTATTATTTTTATATTCATTTTATTTTACGTGTTTTAAATGTTTTGCCTTCATGTATGTATACCATGTGTAAGCCTGGTGCATATGGCTGCCAAGAGGTCATCTAGTCTCCTGATTACAGATGGTTGTGAGCCACCATATGAGTTCTGGAAGCCAAGTGAACCCAGATCCTTTACAAGAATAACAAGACTCTTAACCATCTGAGCCATCGAGACACTGTGGAAAACAAGAACCATGGACGCCTATTGAAACGAGGCTGTATATGCTAGAAAACCCACAATAGCAGGACAAGCCCCACAGCAATAAAAATCCAGACCAAAACATCAGTAGTTAGGAGTTAACAGAGCCCTAGTGTATCATTCAGTCACCACGGTAAATAAGTGAGTGGCCAGAAATGTGGGATTTCCCGCTCTGCAGTGCATCACTGCCAGCGTTCACAGTGAGCGGGGCACAGAAGAGAAAAACATCTACGGACAACAGAGTCATTGAGAGGCCTCAATTTAGGAGAAAAGAATCCATACCAAAGGCAACCCTGTTCTCAGTTTAACTATTAAGTTGAAAAATTACGCCTAAGAGGCAGGGCTTCATTGACAACCCAGCAGGCCACTGACAGAAGAAAGTTCCAAACATGACATGCCATCATCTAAACCTAACTGTTCTTCCTTCTTCAATTTGAGAACCACTGTTTCAATCTGGTCTGGTTTCAATAGTTGTGAGGATGACAAGACCGATCCTCAGTAACGCAGCACTCTGAACAATGAGGGACTTAGTCACGAGATTACTATTGTCAGCACTAAAGCACCTAAAACTTCCCTCCGCCTGATGGAGAATGATATGAAGCCACAGCCAGTTCCATGCTCATTAAAACTTCGGGCTTCTTGAAAGAGCACTCTGGAGGAATGACGCCACTGCCACAGAGATAAGGGAAGGGCCAGTGACTAGGTTTTCTCTCTACAATATCAACACCTATGAAAAAAATCCACAGTAGCTCTTTTAATCAATCCTTATGTATCACTGAACAGATGTAGAATTACTTAATTAAATGCTACATAGGAATAGCACCTAAAAATGAAAATCAGGCACTAAAATTCCATATCTGACTCCAGGACAGACTTTAACACAGTTCTGATAGACACTGCTTTCCGTGGGTACTGTTGCATGCTCACCACGGGTCATCTTAGGCTTACCTCCTGCAGCTTTGATTGTATCCACTGGCCCAGAAGTGCCAAGCTGTCTCGTGGACAGACAGCCCAAATCATTGTGAGAAAAATCATACCAAGGAAATCCAGTAAGTGAACCAAGCTAGCCTTTTCTGCCTGAGAATAATAAAACGATGAAAACCACTTAATAAATTAGTATTTAGTAAATGGAAACAGTACACATTTATACACTCTAGCCATCACTTAATCATACTAAATAATTATGTGTGTTCAACTGGTCAACATGAACAAAGATCTAATTTTCTAAAATTATTTTATTATATTTAGTTTTTATTTGTGTGTATGTGTGTGTGTGTGTGTGTGTGTGTGTGTGTGTGTATAGGGCATGGGTATGCCATAGTACAATAGACAAGGTGCTCTGATATAATGCTTTGTACACTGTAAAGATTTGTCACTTGTATTGGTTTTAATAAAACACTGATAGACCAGTAGCCAGGCAGAAAGTAAGGGTGGGGTGACCAGACTAGGAGAATTCTGGGAAGTGAAAAGGCTCAGTCTGCAGTGGACACCCAGACACAGAGGAAGCAAGAAGAGAAGGCCTTACTGATAAAAGGTACTAACCCACATGGCAAAACATAGATAAGAACTATAGGTTAATTTAAGCTGTAAGAGCTCATTAATAATAAGCCTGAGCTAATATGCCAAACAGTTTATGTATTAATATAAGTCTCTGTGTGTTTCTTTGGGACTGAACGATTCTGCTGTAGGACGAGAAAGGACAGAAACTTCTGCTTATAACAAGGAGGTCAAAAGACAACTTGTAGGGTTCAGTTCTCTCCTTTCATACGTGGGACCTGGGACCTAACTCAAGCCATTGGGCTTCAGCCAAGAGTTTTTACTTGTCAAGTCACCTCACCAGTCAAAGAATTTCTCCCTTCATATCCATGCTGTCTCCTGGTATGTCCCCTTTTCTTTGCTTATACACCTGTGAGTCACTTATGCCTTTAACATTTTACCACTTTTGCTGAGCTAATTATTCATCATCAGAGACAGTAACAATTAATAAAGTAGTTTCTTACATTAACCAGCACAATGATTCCTCTGGTATGATAAACCCCATTTTATAGATAATGGAATGGAAATGGAGATTTTATGATTGCTCCAATTCACATAGCTATTAGTAAAAGGACCAAAAAATCCCAGGCTGAAGCTGTTTTGGTTTCTAACATAGACACTATACTCTACACATCAAATAAAAGCGTTTATCACACTAATATTGTTACATAAAGCCTAAATATATATAATAGTAAAAGTTAAATGCACAGGCTTATTCACCAGTTACTAGTGCGTGTTAACTCACTACCAGGCTGACTTTCTACTAGTCACTCCCTGAATGGACACACATGGCTGAAAACTAAAATCGGACTATGACCTTCACAATATAATCTCTCCTCACAAAACAATTATACAACAGTCGCTAGTTGTAAAACAGTTATTGACGGGGCTGGAGAGATGGCTCAGAGGTTAAGAGCATTGCCTGCTCTTCCAAAGGACCTGAGTTCAATTCCCAGCAACCACACGGTGGCTCACAACCATCTGTAATGGGGTCTGGTGCCCTCTTCTGGCCTGCAGGCATACACACAGACAGAATATTGTATACATAATAAATAAATAAATATTTAAAAAAACAGCTATTGAATTCTACTATGAAAGACTGAAGTCAATATGATAGTGTTTATAAAGAGAACACCCTTGTTATAGAGTATTAAAGAGTATAACTGTTATTAGTCTTAAAAAATAGAAACATTTTTAAAACTGCATATTTCTAGAAAAAGAAGACAGCATAAAAGTCAGGTTTAATCAAAATTAAGACTTCCAAAAGAGAAAATGTTGTGTTAATAAGGGACCTTTGTCAAAGAAATGGTAACTTTTTTCCATCATGGCTGTTCCCTGCCTCTTCTGTTTCATCTGACTGCCATCCTTTACTGGTGGTGGTATCCCCACACTGATAGGCACTGACTGGGATGCCACATCAGCTGAATGGTACCATCTTTTAAAGCTACAACAGCCGCATCTTTAAAACAACCTTAAACAACATGTAGATACAAGTCGGCAGCACCTGCTTACACTGCTGGGTGCTATTCTGGGTCAGATGGGGTCAGTAAAGTCATTTCTTCCCTTGTAAAACCATCAAAGATTTCTGCTTAAAATTTCCAAATTCTCTGTGTTGTCCAAGAAACACAGTCCAAAGTTCAGTGTCACAGACAGACATAATCAGAGACACAGACACAGATTCAAACACACACACACAGATACAGGCAACAGGGACAAATAGATCACACACATACACACAACAGACAGATAGAAGACACAGGAAGAGAAGTGGAGAAATCAAATTTGAGCCTACACTTTGTCAAACTACCCCAAGAGAAAGTTTCTGTCTCATTCATTAATGCATCACTGATATATTAAGACATCATTATTTGAGAGATGTTGGAATACACTATAATGATACTATTTCTATTGCTTATATTTATTCTTGTAAATATTTAAAGAATATTTTCCTGTAGCTCAAAAGAAATCATGAATTCTTCAAAAGAGAGCAACTTTGGTCCAGCTCGCCTAATTATTCCACTAAAGAATAGGTAGAATTTTAAATGATTTTGGGAAAGATTAAAAAACATTATAATTTCCATTTGAAGTTAAAAATATTTGCACTTATGATTTAGCATATTGTAATCCTCTCACAAACATTAACTGTGTGTTCCAATTAGAAAACAAAAATATATTTATCTCTATTTATATGTGCAAAAGATCCATTCACATTTTTAATAAATAGCAATCAAAAATGAGTACAAAAAATATGTTTTGTGTGTTATTAAAGACCTATGTGACCACTGTTAGTCTTTTTAAATGTTAGTTTCTTAACATATAAACCAGGGATGATAGATACATACTCGTAAGTTATTAAAGCTCTGAGTGAGAAAGAACATATTAGATGAAGTTCAGTAAACTATTTCAGCGAGGTGTCACTACTGCTCCACATTCATGTCATATTGCGTATCATTTAGACATTTTCCAACAATATTCCAAGCCATCTTTTGAAAATGAGTAAGAATAAAACTGATTTACCACTTAAATAGTAGTATCACTTTCCAACAATTAATTTTCTGACTAGATATAAGTATGTTAATAATTATGAAAGTTTAAATTTTAATGTGAAATAATTAGAGGTTGAGACTAATTACTTTTTAGCAAAAGAGACAGGTGATAAAAACAGTATTTAAGAGAAACACTAATTATTCGGTATCACACACTAAAGACTGTAAAAGTCTCAAAATAGGCTAATCACTTTTTTTCAGGTACAGAATAAGGCGAGTACATTCCATCATTAAAAGAAAAAAAAAATCCTGAAATGATTGGGTTCTTTAAAGGCTACAACTTGGTAATATCAAAGCAACATTCAACAGCTGCACATCATTCGGGTACTTACTGCATGCCCCAGGACTGCGTGTGCAATCTCATGGCCCAGAAGGAAGGAGAGCTGGTGAGTGTCAGTTACACTACCCAAAAGCCCGGTGAAAACAAACACTTGCCCGTTCTGCACATAAGAAGAATAATATAAGCAATTAGCCCACAGTAAAACTTAAAGACATGAAAGCCAGAAACAAAAAATGTATTTTAAAGTATTTACTTACAGGAAGAACAAAGGCATTCACATCTGGGGAATCAACCACATGAATCACCCAGTTGATCTCAGAGATCCCTGGGACATCCTGATTGCACTGAGTCAGATGATACACCACTTCTTTAACAGTCAGGTAGCGGGGGTCTCTCTCAGGCAACATAGCGTCTTTAAATTCTTCCATCCACTAGAAGATTTTTTCAAAAAGTATTGTTTAAGAGTTTTTGCAATACAAAACGCTTATTCTGCTTCATGAAAAGGGCTTCATTTGACTAGTGTTGGGCATTTTAATTTTGAATTGTGCAAAAATTTACATATATTAAATGCTCACATTTCTGAAATTTGAATTATTCATATAAAGGCAGTATAGTGTCTCACAAAGGAATAAATTATAAGATTTTTTCATATAATATAATTCAATTCAAATTTTATTCTTCTTTTCTATTAATCTATATGCAAGCAAAATGTTTAGATATTTCTACCTTCCTAAGAATTCCAGGAAACAAAACTGCCTAGATACTAAAGGATTCACATAAAAAACTTCATATGTAGCTCAGTTGGCAGAGTGGTCACTCTAATGACGTATGCAAAGCCTGAGCTCGCGCCTTAGCACAGCATAAACCCAGTGTGGACACACAGCCTTGTACTCTGAACACTGGAGAGGTAGAACCAGGAGAGTTAGAAGGTCATCCATTGTCTACTGCAGAGGAAGTTCAAGGCCAGCCAGTGGGGGGGGGGGGGGGAGAGAAAAAGAGAGAGAGAGAGAGACAGAATGTCAAAGAAAATTAATTACTTTCATAATCCACTAAATGGAAGAACACCAGATTCATAATATAGACTCAGGCTTTTACAAAGAGAGACAATATCTCACAGATTGTAAAGTATTTGATCCACACTGAAGGAAAGAAAATCACTGAGATCTTAAAACTAATGGGCAAATCATATTCTCTATGTGATGTTGATTAAAAAGCATAGCCATCTTATATAGGAGAACATTTTTTTCTGAAGCTTTTTTCTAAGAGATTCTGTCATATATACTGAGAAAATTAAGACTATTCTACAAATATTTAATATCCATAAAATGTATAGCTTAATATATAAATCAAGTTGATAACCTTTCTTTTTCTTTTTTCTTTTCTTTTCTTTTTTTTTCTTTCTTTTTTTTTTTTTTTTTTTTTTT